TCGGCGGTCGGCGGGTTGCTCTGCTCGAAGAGGCAGTCGCGAGGTCGCGAAGCAGCTGGTCGTCGAAATCGCCACCTCTCCCCGTGCCTCCCAGCACCACGAATTGCTCCCAGGTCGGCCTCCTTCTGGCACACGCCCCTCCCCTCCTCGCTAGCGTCGCTCGCGTAGATCCTGGGAGACCAGGTGGCCCTGAGATCAGCCCAAGCCAGGGGGATCAGGGAGGCGGCCCAGCGAAGCTCACGGCGGACAGATGGCGGCAGCTTCATCACCCGATCGAGGTACTTCCTCGAGAAGGCATGCACAGAACTAAATACGGCCAAGAGCGGGCGCCTCGACATTGCAATGAACGCAAAGTGGCCAGCAATCTTCCCCACTTGTCGCCCTGAAGCGTGCCCACGAGCAAGCAATCCCTGGATCCCAAGACGAAGCCTCCAAGCACGACGACTCTTCGGTCTCACAGCTCCACGCTCCCCGTCGAAGACCCACCCAGCTGCTCAGACACCGAGGCGGGGAGATCAGGATCGTGCAGAGGGAGCCCCGCGCCGCTCAAGGCCTCTTGGGCCGACCTCAGGAGGGCCGCAGGCCTGCCAGGATTTACTCCAAAGGAAATGAAATTGTCAACATAGGCTGGGTAGGCCCCGTCCTGGATGGGAGGCGTCGGCATACCATCGACCACTTCGGGAACGCTCTCAACCCCCCCTTCTGGAGCAAGATATTTCTGTGCACTCTCTGACAGAAGTCCAGCGCATGCGTCCAGCCCATAGGCAGGACGGCCAAGCACGGGCGCACCCAAGCACGACCAGGAACTGGACGCCCGCCCAGCTCTCGCACTCCAAGTTGCGCTGCCCGAAGCCGCGGGAGCGCGAAGAGGTGCCGGAGCTCTGGCGGCAGGCCCATGTTGTAAAAAGCGTCCGCTATGTCGACGCCCGCCGTCCACAGCACCTCGCCCGGCGCCAGCTCGATGGAGCTGAAGCTGCCCCCGGACGCCGAGCTGGTCTTGTCGGGCTCCCCGAACCTGAAGTTGCTGCCCCTGCAATCGATCACCAGGCGCTGGCGACCATCCTTCTTCCAAACGGTGAATAGACCGACTTCCTCAAAATCCCCCTCATCAATCCTGAGCTCCAGCATGCCACCGTCCCTCACCCTCTCGACGAAGGCCAGGTAGGCCGCGGGCTGCCGCAGCACCGGGTCCAGGTAAGGGCGTGCGAAACCAGCCTCCTTCTTAAAAATCTCGGCGCTTTGAATTGGCAAAACCTTCGAAGTGATGAACCTTCGCACGATATCTGGACCGTCGTCTCCCAGCAACTGGCTCAGGGGCACAGGCGTGCCGCCCACAGCTGGCAGAGACGCGAGGTCGTGCGCGAAGGGGGCCACCGTGACGGGCTCGCCGTCGGAGTAGCCGGCGCCAACCTGGAGCTCCTGGAGGGCCACCTCGGTCGACAAATCTGGAGGAATGGAGCCCATCGCCGCACAGCTTTCGGCGAGATGCTCCAAGCAAAGTTGCTGCATCCTGTTGGGCTCCTGGCCTGCGCGGCGCGGCGGGTCATCCGAGCCGGCGTCCAGCTGGTTGAGCGCCACCACTAGCTCAGTCACGAGCTCGCCCTGCAGCGTCCTGTTGGCGCGGCGACGCCGCGCTGCGCGGCCGCCGCCGCCGCCGGCGGCAGCCGCCGCGAGACACCAGTCAGGGACTGGCAAGGGCAGGAGCGACCGCTGCATGTGGTCGTCACCTCTGCCCCCCACCTCTTCTGCATCACCCCCGGGCCGAGGCAGTCCCGGGGGCGGTCCCAGCATCATGACTTGGGGGGAGGAGCGTCCCGGCCGCCCTTGTTGGCCTTCTGCTCCTCCCTCAGCTTCCTCGCGTTCTTCTTGATGCTGTGGATCCGCTCCAGCTCCTTCGACACCGAGTCGAGCAGCTCCGGGCGCACCATCGAGGGAGACCTCGAGCCTCCCATGAATGCGAATGCCTCCTCCAAGGGCATCCGCATGTTGTGCTGCTGCTGCTGCTCTGCGCTCCTGTCGTCCCAGTAGTGCTCAATGAGCTGGAGCTTACGGTAGCCGAGCTCCGCGCTCGCCAAGTTGTAGACGTCCAGGTGGTCGGCGGTGCCCATGGCCTCGATCATTTTCGAGAGCGTCTCGTGCATGTCCACCCCGAAGTCGGTTGGGTTCAGCTTCCGCTTCGACTTCCACATCTCATGATGGAGGACGGGGCCCCCTTCCTTCACCTGGTACTTGGCACACCACTGCGCCGTCCTCGGAGGGGCCACAGCAAACCCCGGCACGGGCTCCTCGCGACACAGCAGCACCACCTCGCGCCACTCCCGAGCGTTGCCGCCTGGCTGCCCAGCTCCCGGCGGGATCTCGAGTGTGCGAGCGTCGCTCCCGCGGTACTCCTGAGTGAACCACGGGATCTCGCTGTCTCTCAGCAGCACCGCGCTGGCCCCGCACGGCCCACGAGGGTCGCTCCGCCCGGCACTCCGACGGCCACCTTCGTGCCGAACGCCACGGCGCCGTCGACGTCCTCGGCAGCCACCCAGTGCCAGCCTGGCGCGGGCTCCCCGCTCGGCAGCGGCGCGGCCGCCGCTGTGTCTGGCACCGCGGGCGCCCGACCCGCTGGAGCAGCGGCCGCCCCGGGGGCGGGGGCCACGGCGGCTGGGGCCGCGGCTGCCGGCGCCGGCGCGGCCGCGGCCGCCGGCGGGGCTGGCGGGGCCGCCCCAGGAAGCGCCAGCGCGCCTGGGTCCGCTGCCGCGGGGTGGGCCCCGGCCACGTCGACCAGGGGGGGGACCACGATCGTCGGGTCCGCCAGCGGCATGCTGCCCGCCGGCGCGCCGGCACAGTTGACCGCGGACAGCGTGAGGAGGAAGGGCCCGTCAGGCAACGGCCCGTGCCCCAGCGCTGCGCCGCGGCGGAGGGCGCCCCAGACCTCGGCCGCCGTGGGGAGGCGCCGAAACCTGTAGACTCGGTTCTCCTGGACGCCCCCCGCCCTGCCGCCCTGCCCGTGTACGAAGTGGATCTCCATCACGTCCGCGTCGGGGTTCGTGGTCTCCCCGTAGTCGTCGAAATCCGGGGTCATCACGTACCCTGAGCGGAAAATGTCCAATCGCTCATGGTACAGGGCGGGGCCTCCCACTCGATACCTGGTCAGGTGGAAACCTCCCGCCAGCGGCCCAGCCGCCATCTTCAACAAGCGGCGGCAACCGGCGTCCTGCGGAAGGCCTTCGCCTGCTCCAGCGCGAGGTGCACGAGGTCGTCGCCCGCAGGCGCGCTGTCCGCCTCCACGGACGCCGCGGCGGGCGCTGCAAGCGCCCTCGGGCGAGGCCGCCAGGCCCACGAGACGGCCGCGGCCCCGAGCACGGCGCCCAGGAGGAGCGAGAGGCCAGCCACCCAGGCCAGCTGCGACCCGGGGCACCCCGGGGTGGCGGCGGCCGCCAAAGTGCCCTCGCCGCTGGGGCACGTGCACTGCAGCGCTGGGCAGTGCAGGGCCGGACTGCACCAGCAGTCCGGGCAGTCGGCCACCGAGGCCCGGACGACGAAGGCGGTGGTCAGCGCCTGCCCCACGTCGTGGAGCAGCCTCACCAGCCCGGCCTCCATCCCCCGGCAAGGTCTCAGCGCAACAAAGGGACCTCAAATGGCCATGGAATGGCAAAGGAATGCCGCACAGATCCATGGCCCTGACATGCGGCCTCTCCTGCTGTGACGTCTGGCAATATACAACGAAGTAGTGGACAGGAGGAGGAGGCCTCTTGAGGCTTCCTGGGGGCTTCATGGGAGCCTTCTGGGGGGCCTCCTGGTGCCTCTTGGGGTTCTCCTCTGGCCTATTCGGGACCTCTTAGGGGCCTCCTGCGGGCCTCTATGGGCCCTCTTCGCCTTCGGAGGCGGTCTTTGGGCTTGCTTGAGGGCCGTCCTGGAGAGTTCTGGGGCCGTCTTGGGGCCATCTTGGGGGTCTCGCGGGCCGTCTTGGGGCGCTACCTTAGGGGTCCATGGGTCCGCCTTGGAGCGTCGGAAGCCCGAAAAGGCGAGAATGCTGAAATCACCGAGAAACAATTAACAGACCAACAATGATTTTGGCCTCCTGGGGGTCCTCCCGGGCCTCTTGGGGCTCTCTTGGTGACTCCTGGGTGCCTCTCGGCCTTCGGAGGCCGACTTGGGCCTCCCCTGTGCAATCATGAGTCTGTCTTTGGGTGTGAAGGCCGTCTTGGAGGTCTCTGGGGCCGTCTTGGCGCCGTCTCGGCGGTTTTTTCGGGTGTCGTGGGGCCTTCTTGGACCGCCTCGCGGGCCTCTTGGCGACCTCCTGGGCCATCTTTGGGCGATCCTGGAGACCTACGGGCCCGTCTTGGAGCGTAAGATACCCGAACAAACGAGAACGCTATAGTCATTGAACAGCCCAATGACAATCAACGATTCTGACCTCCTGGATGTCCTCTTGGAGCTCTCTCATGGCGTCTAAGGGGCCTCTTGGGCCGGCTGGAAGATATTTTGGGTCGTCTAGCCGCAACTGCAAGATGTGGCCGTCTTGCGCCGTCTTCTTCCGTTCTCCCGCCCGTGTCCTGGACCACATTTCGAGGGGTGTTGCACAGCGGGGCCCCCTCCGCAGAGTAGGGGGACACACGACACAAACATAAGCTTTCGGAGCTCCGCGCGGATTTCTTGGATCTGCCCTGGGCCCCGCGCGCCAAGGGCGGCGCCGCCAAGGGGGCCTTACACCGATCCGCGAAATCCGCGCGGACCTCCGAGAAATTATGTTTGTGCACGTTTTCTTCGAGCGCACCGACTCGGTCGGGAACCCCAACCTCCAACGTTCTGAGTAGAAGCAACACATGCACTTGGACTCCTGGAAATTACCAAACACCGATGCAGGGCGAAACTGCAACTCCCCTGAAAGAACCAAGATCTCTGGGGACCCCGCATCAGAAAATACGGCATCGGACGTCTTCGACGTGCACCTTCTTTTTTTGTATCCTGTGCGGCCAGCATCTCTGGCGCCAGGACCCAGTGCGCAATACAGGCCGTTGTGTACAACAAGTCGGGCGGCAAACGCAATTCGAGAGGCGGCGCAGCAGAGACTGTGATCACTGTCTTGTCCACGTGGGTCTCGGGAGGAGGGGGACAGGAGGGGCAGGAGGAGGAGGAGCAAGAGGAGGATGAGGATGAGAGTGGGGACCGGTGGAGGAAGTGGGTCAGGGACGAGGGAGAGTGGTCAATCGACCGCAGGAGGCACCGCCTGGCAGATACCGAGGAGGCGAAGGGTAGCACTTTGGCTCACACTCCTCCTCGTCTGCCTGCTGCTCCCCAACTCCACTCGTACGGCTGGTTTGCGTCGCGATGTCGCGGGTGTTGGTTTCTGACGCCGCGCGGATAATTTAACCTTGAACGATCGCGGCTTTTCGATAGCGCAGATCGCTCGACATCGCCCTATTCTGGGCCACCTGCGACGTTTGACCTTGAACTCCGCGCTGGGGTCGCCGCCGCGTCAACGCCGAGCAAACCTACCGTACATGCCAATTCCTCTCCGGATCCTGAACCCTGGAAGTGCCTGGAGATCCTGGAAGCACCAGAAAGGGCCAACAACCGCTCACCCGACCCTCGAGGGTAAAACTCAACCCCCTCTCCGACAACCGCCCCCTGCCGCGACTCCAGGAGGAAACCCTGCGTTCACGAACACCGCTTCTAGCTAAACCCACCCTGGGCTCAAAATCGGTGCGTCCTCCATCCTGGCCTGGCCAGGACGGCGTATACAATATTGTGCACCTATCCTGGCCGATATCGGTGCGTACGTAACTAGTGGGTATCCCCCAAGGCCAAGGCCGTCTACGGCGAAAACACGACCGAAAGTCGAACCCGAAACCGATAGGCCGCAAGCGATATCCCCTCAAGCAGCACTGGGAACTAAAAACGTCTTGAGCCTAGTGTCGGCTCAAGAGAGGAGCACAAAGGGAGGAGCGGCCTCAGACGATGACGATGACCTTTTGCCAAGGAGCAATGCTGCTTGCTCCGCTGGCGCCCGGCGCATCACGCGCCGGCGCCGGTCTTAGGCCACGCGTCGCGGGCCACGCCGCCGCCAAGGCACTGTAGCGCCTTGGCGGCCGCGAAAAGTCCAGAACAGGGCGGGTAATGAGGCCCCCAACGGGGCCTCAAGGGTGGGCCAGCTTGGCCTCAAAAGGCTTGAGCCGCCGAACGGCGGTGGGAAAGGAAGGGGAGAGAGGGCAAGCAAGAGGCAAGGGCAGGAGCGAGGGGACCAAGGGAGAAAGCCCGCGCCAGTCCTGGAAACGGGGAGATCCATCAGTTTTACCAAACATCCTAGATATCCCCTCAAGCAGCACTGGGAACTAAAAACGTCTTGAGCCTAGTGTCGGCTCAAGAGAGGAGCACAAAGGGAGGAGCGGCCTCAGACGATGATGCCAAGGAGCAATGCTGCTTGCTCCGCTGGCGCCCGGCGCATCACGCGCCGGCGCCGGTCTTAGGCCGCGCGTCGCGGGCCACGCCGCCCACCTCCTCCTGTGGGTATTCCACCGCGCCGAACTGGCTGTAGTGGGTCACGCAACCGCCGAACTTCGCGGCGTCGAACTAACAATTCCGGCTTCTGCGGCACGCTGCCGCTTCCGCCCATCGAGGTGAGTCCGCAGGCGCAGGGCGGCACGCCGCCGGCGCCCGCGGGGGTTCTTCATGCGCCCAGTGCGGTAGCCCGGCTGGGCTAGCCGCCGGCGCCTCTCGCAGCCGCCACCGCCGTCCCCCATGACGGCACTGCCGGAGCCAGGCCGGCGCGGCGCTCTGCCCTCAGGCACCAGCTGCCGCCGCCCGCGCCCAGCTGCTCGCAAGCGCAAGGTTGATCGCGAGCGCCAGGCTGAACTCAGCCGGCGCCGCGTGGCCGCCCGCGCGGCGGCTGCAGGCGGCGGGCCTCTGCGGCAAGCTGCCACGTCCGCCCAGCAAGGTGGTCCGCAGGCGCGGGGCGGCTCGCCGCCGGCGCCCGCGGGGTTCTTCATGCGCCCCGTGCGGCCGCCCTCGCTGGGCTAGCCGCCGGCGCCCCCTCGTAGCCGCCACCGCCGTCCCCTCATGACGGCGCTGCTGGTGCCAGGCCGGCGCGGCGCTCTGCCCTCGGGCACCAGCGGCCGCTGCCCGCGCCCAGCTGCTCGCAAGCGCAAAGTGATCGCGAGCGCCAGGCTGAACTCAGCCGGCGCCGCGTGGCCGCCCGCGCAGCGGTTGCTGGCGACGGACCTCCGCTGCCCGCCCGGCCGTTGGCCGGCGGCAGCCTCGCACCTCAGTCACGACGCGGCCTCTGCTCTCCTCCCCGGGGCCATTCGGTCGACCCGCGGTGCCCTGATGGGGCTACTTCGCGCGTCACCTCGTTGGCCCGGCGGAAGCCTTGGGTCTCGTGCACGTACCTCACGCCGTTGTAGTGCACCGGGCCCATCACTCCTGCGTCGCAGTGCGTCTTCTGCGGCTGCTTGGGGAGCCTGGGCGCCTTGGGCGTCGGCTGCACTGTGGCCTGCTGTGCTTCTGGCTCCAGCCTCTTCTCGTTCTTCTTGGCTATCCCACAGCAGCAGCAGAGCACCCCGACGCTCCATGCAAGCAGCACTGAAATCGTGGCCACCACCTTCAGCGCTGTCTCCACTGGGAAGACGATCGCCACCGTGCCCGTCTGCGGCCCCCAGCGAAGCGTGACCCCGTTGGCCCTTTCGTCGACTGCCGCAATCTCGTGGCTCTGTCTCTCCCCAGCTGCCGTTGCGAGTGGCGTCACCACCAGCGCTGCGCGCAGCGCGCCTGCCCGGGGCTTGCGGGCTCTGCGGCCGCCGCTGCGCCCACTGGCCGCCCGTCCGCTCCTTCGCTGCTGCCTGTGCTGCCAAAGGGCGCCTGACAGCACCGCTGCCAGCAGCGCCCCCGCTGTCGTCGCCCACGCCCCCGAACCGGCCGGGAGCGCGAGGGTCAGCAGGCTCTGGCTCTCCGCCGGGTCGACCTGGATCACGTAGCCGTCTGCGCTGCCAGCCGTGGCGGCGAGCGTCGTCGCGGCCAGCGCCGCCCCGGGCCACCGTGGGGTCGGGCTCTTGCCTGCGCGGCGCTCGCCCTCGGCCGAGTGGGCCGGCGGCGCCGTGAGCTCGGACGTATCCGTCGCCATGTCGGTCGAGATGCCGCGCATGGGCTCATGGCTCTCCCACAGGTGCCCGTGGAAGCTGTCGGAGGCCCAGCGCCCGAAGCGCTTGACGCGCTGCAGGTCGTCCACGGCGTGGTACATCGCTGTTGCGCCTCCGATGCAGAGGCTGTGTGAGCCGATCTCCTCCTTCCTCAGCCCGGCAGCCAGCCCCGCGATCGTCAAGTAGTGCTGCGCCTCCTCGCGGCGGATGGGTGCGCCGCTCGCCCAGCGGAAGAGCGGGAGCTCCTCCTCGCTCCCTCGCAGCCTCTGCGGGTAGTGCTGCTCCAGCTGACGGACGGCGGCCACGGGGCACAGTGACGTGCCCGTCTGGTACTGGCTCCTCACGCACCCCACGTTGTACTGGTCCGTCTTCGACGAGGTGATGTGGAGCACCACCTCCACCGCGTCCTTGAAGGTGCAGGGCTGGTTATTGCCGTCGCGGCCCGTGATGTCCACGCCGCGCACGACGCGCTCACGGCTCCATGTCTTCCCAGGCTGGATCAAATACTCCGACGCCCTCAACATGAAGAAAAAGGCCACCACCACGGCGGCCCACAGGACCGCGGTGTCCGTCTCGGGGAGGTCAGCTTGGTCCCTCATGAAGCCCTGGAGCCACAGGAGCATGCGTAGTGTCACCGGCCGCTTCCGCCCGCTCGGCCCTTGGCCCCTCCGAAGGCCGGCGAGCGTGGGCCAGAGGCGACCCCGGTGAAGGAGAGGGTCTGGATATCCGACCACGAGGTTGGCGAAGCGCACGGCGAACAACTTCTGTTTGATCGTGTCTTCTGTGCGCTTCAGCAACTTGGCCAGCGCGACGACGAAGCCCAGCAGCGCCTCCTCGTTGGCGTGGCGCTCCTCGCGATCACGCCCCTCCAGCCAGGGCGACTCGCCCTGGGCCGCTCTGAAGCCCTGCCACTGCCGCCAGCCGGTCTCATAGCCGGCGCGGGTCCCCTCGGACAGCCGTAGCATCAGCGCCTCGCGCTTCTGCTCTTCGATCCACCCGCCGTAGTCCTCCCCTCCCAGGGTCGGGTGGTCCGGCAGGGCGATGGCGGCCCGAGCTCTGCGCAGCGCGACTGGCTTGACCAGCCCCTTGGTCTCCACCTTCTTGCCCCGGTTGGGGCTCCGTTTCCGCCGCTTCTTGGGCGCGCCGACCGTTGCGTTCAAGTCCACCTCCCTGGCGTCAGGAGGGGCTCGGGGCCCCGTACGAGGTCCTCCTCAATTGCCTTGAAGCGGACACCCTCGCTCTTGCGCCTCGCCTTGTGGGCGTCGTCGCTCAGCACTCCTGCGTGTTGGTCGTCTTCGGTGGTCTCGGCCTTCGCCCGGAGCTCACCCCGCGCCCAAGCCCTGAGCCGCCGCCGGGTCGTCTCCCAGGCAGCCGACTCCGCTGGATCCCGGCAGCCGCCCGCTCGCTGGGTGGTCTGCAACAGCGCGTCCGCGGTGGCGCCCAGGACAGCTCTCGCTGTCTCGGGTGGCAAAGCCCTCGCTGCCTCCCGCATCAGGGTGGCCTCAGTGTCGCCCTGGGCCCGCCTCTTCACCCAAGCTGCCTCGTCGCCCCCCTGCACGATCCAGACCTCCTCAGGCGACGGCGCTCTGACGCGCGCCCGCCGCTGCTCCCGGGGACGTGGATCAACGTTCCTCCCGGTCCGCCCGGGCCCTCTGTGGGCCAGCGAACCGTGCCGATCGGGCCGTCGACCGAGCAGACCAGGTACTTCGTGCCAGCGAGCTTGATGTGGCCGATGCCCTTGGGAAGCATGGGGTCGGAGCCCCCGCGGGCTGCCGGGTCCCAGGTGATTCTCCCTTCGTCGTCGAGCCAGTGGTGTTCGCCTTCGCTGAGCTTGTCCTTCAGCGCATGCTTCACCCCGTGGGGGCAGCGGCGCGCCGGCGGCATGCGCATGCTCGCCAGGCTAGCGCCTGCTGGTCCCCGGCCCGCCACGAGCAAGCTCCGAGCTCGGGCTGTCATGTCGCCGTAGTGGGTGCAGACAACC